CAGAGAAACGATCATTCAGAGCCAGGAGGCGGGTCTCAGCACTGTCAATCATGTTTGTGTGTGTGTGGCGCACAAGCCATTTTCATGGAATAGTTGTAAATTAATACTGTTTTGGGTTTTATTGTGTGGCATTTGCGAGTTGTGTCACTGTTCGACGTGGTTGCGGAGGGGGGTGAATATCCCTCCGCCGTTGCACACATTAAATGAAAATGTTGCGGAATCAATCTCGGAAGCTCGTCTGATTGTTTCACCGCTACATTTTTGGCGAGCCAGACCCAGGAGGAGTTTCAACTTAAAGTAACTAATCCAAACGAGACGAACCGAAGTCGGAGGAGGAAATACCGATGGAGCAGCTTCAAGACGAAGTGAGCCGAACGCTGCTGATGTTTGAGAAGTCAGAACTGATTTTAGTTTGTAAACGCCTCAAGAGTGATGAACCTTCAGGAGGGTTTACTGGCCAAACTCGGCGTTCCCTCATCAGACTAGCAGAGTCGACACTGGACGATATCGGGAATGAGGAAGAACCGGAATCGTTTCAACAGTTTCTCCAGAATTTAATCACCTTCATGGAATCTTGGACGTTGGAACGTGCCAGAACACCAGAACAGATTCAATCTAACGAAGGTGAATTAAATTTACTAAAAGGCAAGTACAAGGAATTGCAAGAGGAACAAAACAAAGCCCGACAGCGGATTGAGGAGGAAATTGGGGTTTTAGAAAAAAAAAACTGAGCACGACGGCGCATATGGAGGAGACTGAACCACACCGTGCTCCATCACCTCAAATACCAGAAGTGACCCTCAGGCGGGAGTTTCGGATTTGTGGGCAGATTGGAGAAGCTGGTCAGAGGGATAAACTGTCATATACGAGCCTGATCAACCAAATGGAATCTGGGCAGAGGAAAGGATATTCAGAGACGGAGATCCTGGAAGCAGTCATACGGGCCATAAGCCCAGGGCTCCACCTGAGACACATGCTGGAAATCAAAACAGGACTGACCTTGTCCACTCTGAAAATTATTCTAAGAAGTCATTTTAAAGTTGACTCTTCCTCTGACCTCCTTCATCAGCTGATGAACATTTCACAAGATCCAAAAGAATCGGCACAGAATTTTCTATTTAGAGCTATAGAACTGAAAGAAAAAATGCTCTGGAAATCAAAAGAAGAGGATGAAAGCGAACAATTCAGTCCAGAACTGATACAAAGAAAATTTCTGCGCTCCATAGACACTGGACTGCTAAGTGATGCAGTAAAATTCCAACTAAAACCGTACCTGACTAATCCTGCAGTATCAGATGAGGTCCTAATTGAGCGGGTGAGTGAAGCTGCAAACTTGGAACAAGAAAGGCAAAAAAAAAAACTGAGAAAAGGCACAGTGAGTAGGTTCCCAAAAATAAATGAAGTCAGAGCTGAAGAATGCATAAATGAGTTCCAACCTACTTACATCGAAGAAGTTGTAACCAGAGGTGAGGTAGGGGACGCCATAATAACCAAAGGTGTACTGAGAGGGGCCAAGAAAAGTCAGAACACAGAACAGGAAGCAGGAACAACTAAACTCATTGAAGGACTAAAGGCTGAAATGTTAGAACTAAAGAAATTGGTGTTGAAAACAGTGGGTGTTACTAAGAAACATCAGCTAGAGAGAGCCACCACACACAGCTACAGCAAACCCAGAGGTTGCCCAGCCTGTCGAGAAGCACAGTCAGGGGAGATGTGTACTCACTGTTACAAGTGTGGTCAAGGAGGACACCTCGCCAGAGGCTGCCGTCAGAACAGGGGACAGCAGGGAAACTAGAAAGGGCTGCTGGGCCGGGACCCTCAGTAGCCCCACACAAAACACTCAGTCCCACCACAAACAAAACAGGCTCCCATACTGGACTTTCATCTACCCCAACAACTCACTACATGAATCCACGGAGCAGACAGAAACTTCTGAGCCTCATAGGTAAGAGATGCCTTGTTCATTGTTGGCTGGATGCCACTCCAGTAGAAGCATTATGGGACACTGGTGCCCAGGCATGTCTCATTAATGAAGAATGGAGACAATTACACTTACCACACCAGCGAGTGAGACCTCTGAATGAACTACTGGAGGTGGATACACTTATTGGGCTTGCAGCCAATCAGACACAAATTCCTTTTCTGGGCTGGGTGGAAGTGGAATTTAGACTCGGTAAAGACTCACTCTCAGCAGAACCCCTGTTGGTACCAGTACTTGTGTCAAGTGATTCCAGTGTGGCACAACAGCCAATAATTGGCTACAATGTCATAGAGGAAGTTCTAGGAGATAACACACTTAAACACAGGAAATCTGAAGTCATCCAAAATGTGTGTGGAGCCTTTGCTGTAACTTTCCAAACTGCACAGACAATTGTCAAACTAATTCAGACATCAGATAGTCAGGTTGATGTGGGTCTTGTGCATACAGGAAGAAGTCAAATCAAATTAACAGCTGGACAAATCACCATCATCCATGTGAGAGTTAATCCTGGAGCTCAGTTCAGAGGAGAGGACCTTCTTTTTGTTCCTTTGGAGGACTCGGTGCTGCCAGAAGGTGTCAGCATCGGTGAGGAGGGTCTCATAACAGTTCCTAAGGAAAGCTCAGGATTTGTCTCAATCCCAATGTCCAACACCAATAAGTATGATGTCACTCTACATCAGCGTACAGTCCTGGGTCACTTAGAATCAGTAAAGACAGCGTATACTGTAAGTGCACAACAGTTGAACATCACTGATGGTGAACAACAGAAAGATGACATTTCACCCAGAGCAAAGCCACCTGCAGCACAGTGTCTGATCACCAACAGCAAAGCAGAACAACAGAAGCCAACACAGTGGGATCCTCCAGTTGACCTCTGCCACTTAACGGAAAGCCAAAGACAGACTGTGAGACAGATACTGAGAGAAGAGTGTCATGCATTCGCCTATGATGAAGATGACATAGGTTTAATTCCCTCTTTGAAACTTCACATCACTCTGCATGACACCACTCCAGTGAAGAAAACATATATGTCAGTTCCCAAGCCATTACATCAGGAAGTTAAAGAATACCTTCAAGATCTGCTGAATAGAGGCTGGATAACTCAGTCACGTTCTCCATATGCATCACCAGTGGTGTGTGTAAGGAAGAAAGATGGGACTCTGAGGCTGTGCTGTGACTACCGGGAATTAAACAGAAAAACTGTCCCTGACCGCCACCCCATTCCCCGAATCCAAGACATGCTGGATTCTCTAACTGGCAGCTCCTGGTTCTCTGTATTAGATCAGGGGAAGGCTTATCATCAAGGGTTTCTGGATGAGAAAAGTCAGCCCTTAACTGCTTTTATAACACCATGGGGTCTGTACCAGTGGATCAGAATCCCCTTCGGTTTGAGTGCTGCCCCAGCAGAGTTTCAAAGAAGCATGGAGGAGTGCCTGATTGGGTTAAGGGATGTGATATGCCAGCCCTATCTGGATGACAATTTAGTTCACAGCCCGAGTTTTGAGGATCATCTCAACCACATGAGAACTGTGTTGCAAAGATACCAGAAGCATGGAGTGAAGCTGAGCCCAAAGAAGTGTGAGGTGTTTAAAAGAAAAGTGAGATTCCTGGGGCGCCTTGTCTCTGGTGAGGGCTACACGATGGATCCAGCAGAGGTAGCACCAGTTCAATCTTTGAAGGAGAGAACCCCCACAACTGTAGGAGATCTGAGAAAAATGCTGGGATTCCTCTCCTATTATCGAACATACATACCAAACTTCTCCAGAATGGCTAAGCCCCTCTACCAGCTTCTGGTCAGTTCACCTGAAAATCAACCTGAAAATCCGCCATCAGAAAAGCATAAAGACAGGCGGAACATCAACACTGCAAGAAATAAAGGTAACCTCCCATCAAACACTCCCATTCACTGGACACAGACCCATCAAGAGACAATAAACACACTTATTGACAAACTCAGTGAGCCTCCCATCCTTGGGTACCCAGATCTCACTCAACCATTTATTCTGCATGTGGATGCTTCCCAGGAAGGATTGGGAGCGGTTCTGTATCAGAGACAGAATAACAAAATGGTTGTCATTGGGTACGGATCTAGAACACTGACCCCACCTGAGAAAAATTATCACATGCATTCAGGAAAATTGGAATTCCTAGCACTTAAGTGGGCAATATGTGAAAAATTTAGAGATTATCTGTATCATGCACCTAACTTCACTGTATATACAGATAATAACCCCCTGACCTACATTCTCACCACAGCCAAATTAAACACTACAGGTCACAGGTGGGTTGCCTAACTTGCAGATTTCAATTTCACCATTAAATATCGACCAGGCAAACACAATGCAGACGCAGATGGCTCTCTCGCATGCCACTGGACATAAATGACTTATTGCAGCAATGCACAAAGGAAGTGACTCAGGATGTGATCAGTGCTTCAATTCAGGGAGTAACTGTGCTTCAAGATGCCCCATCTGTCTGGTTAACCACGGCTTACATCAAAACACTGGATTTAGTAAGTGATGCATCTTCATCCTCATTGGCTGCCCCACTAACACCAGAACAGATCAGAGAAAGTCAAAAGAACGACAATCTCATCAAGCGAGTCATGTACTATAAAAGCCAAGATCAATTCCCCCCCAGGGAAGTGGTGAAAACTGAGCCTGCAGACGTCAGGGTGCTTTTGAGGCAGTGGCGAAAACTGTATATCAGCAATGATGGGATCTTATACAGAAAAGCAAGAAATAAGTCTCAGCTAGTTTTGCCAAAAGAACACCATCTGTTAGTGTTTCAAGAATTACACAAGGAGATGGGTCATCTGGGGGTCGAAAGGACTCTGAATCTGATTCGAGACAGGTTTTACTGGGTCAGAATGCAGCAGGACACAGAACATTTTGTGACCCAAGTGTGTGAGTGTCTAAAGTCAAAACGACCACAGAGAGCAGCCAGAGCACCACTGATGCCCATTGTGACAAACACGTCCTTTCGAACTAGTGTCAGTCGATTTTCTGCATCTAGAGGCCTGCAAGCAAGGTTTTGAGTATATTTTGGTTATAATGGACCACTACACTCGCTTTGCACAGGCCTACCCCACAAAAAACAAATCCGCAAAAACAGTAGTGGAAAAACTATTTGATGACTTTGCCCTTCGCTTTGGCTTCCCAGAGAAAATCCACCACGACATGGGGAAGGAATTTGAAAACCAGCTGATGGCTCAACTGCAGAGGTGTTGTCACGTGCGAGGGTCCCACACAACCTGCTACCACCCACAAGGGAACGGACAGGTGGAGCGATTTAATCGAACGCTGCTGTCTATGCTCCGAACACTCACAAGTGCGCAAAAGGCTGACTGGAAAAAGTCCTTATGCAAGATGGTGCATGCATATAACTGCACTCGCAGTGATTCCACAGGCTTTTCTCCATATTATTTGCTCTATGGACGATCTCCACGACTGCCAATAGATCTCCTGTTTAACATACAGCCAAACGAAACACAACAAAACTATGCTGTCAAAGATTGGCAAAGCAGGATGCAGCAGGCTTACGAGATCGCAACCAAATATGCTACCTGTGTATCAAACAGAGGGAAAAAAGGATATGACAAAAGAGTTTATGGAGCTGACCTGCAGCCTGGGGGGCGTGTGCTTGTACGCAACTTATCAGAGAGAGGAGGCCCTGGTAAGCTCAGATCCTTTTGGGAAGATAAAGTACACATCATCACAAAGAGGAGAAGTGATATCAGTCCAGTGTATGAAGTAGTACCAGAAGGAGGTGGTAAAAGTCGTGTGCTGCATAGGAACCTCCTGCTCCCCTGTGACAGTCTCCCAATCGACAACCCAGAAATAAGCTCAAAAAGGACTAAAAAGACTAAGTCGAGTACATTGTCATGTCATCTTTGTCCACAAGAAGAAACTTCAGACAGTGAGAGGGATGAGGAAATGGAGCTAGTATGCCAGTTTCCTCCTGCTCAGCACAGTGGTCACCGAGCTGTCAGCTTAAACCCAGATGCTGAACCATTTACACCAGACCTACATGATCAAGACAATGCACCAAAAGTGAAAGAACCGCAGGCTGCATGGATGGACAACATACCAGAAGATGGAAGCCAAGACGTGGAGCTGCACCAGGATCCTCCTGAGCTATCTGTGGAAACGGTTTCTGAGGAAGAAGATGATCCAGCTGTCTCACCGCCTACATCGAGCTATCCAAAGAGAGAGCGCCGCCGTCCGAGGATGCTGACCTATCGTGCTTTGGGTGAGCCAACCACTGTGGAAGTAGGCTTTAAAGAACTACCTGTAACTACCTGCAGTAAGTCAGGCTTTTCATTGATAACTTATGATTAACAGCAAGAAGCTTAATAAAATTAGACATTCGATACAAAAATAATTTTGTTGTATTTTTCTCTACAAACCTGAGAACATCAACAAAATGTCTAGAGATATCAGTCGTGATTGACTTTGTGTCTGTGCAGTAACACACTGAAAGAAAAAAGTTGTTCAATTTACTTGATTTTATTGTGTACATCTGTCATGACATTAAAACTGCAGAATATAAGTTTTATAGCAATATATAAATATATATATTTTTTTACATATTTGTCAACACTATCATAATATCATGTCAGTGGAAGACAGCTGGAATATTTTCCCACAGATTATAAGTCTCTTGCTTTTCTGTAATGACAAAGGAAAGCTTAAACAAATATTTTTAAGGAATCTAATTTTTATAAGGTTCTGCAGCTTTAAAGGTGAATCTGGAACATGTTTCTTTGAAAGATATACAAGATTATGTAGAAATGTGTCAGATTTCAGTGACACTTTACTTGATGGGGTGCGCATAAAACTGACATGACATAATATGTAAAAGAAATTTGTTATAAAAGTTGTATTCGGCAGCATGTGCATGTTAAAAAATGTTAATAAAAATGTTACACTTTTCTAAATCATTTTTATCTTTTCTAGAAATATGTTAAAGGTCAACCTGTAAGCTGCAGTATTTTCCCTTTAGAATTTAAAATATATATATTTGTTTAGACTGTTACTATGTTATTACATAGCAAACAGTAAAACATGAGACAGATGTGAACAAGACTGACATGACACCATCATAAACTTGACGGAACGTCTGTCATGAACATAAAGGCAGTCTTTGTGAATTTCTGCGAATGTTGTTATGAAATGACATTCAGTAAATAATGACCCTTTTAATGCAAAGTTGCTCCAAAAGTTGCATTCAAATTTCTCGCTGGCACTCCCCCTCTGTGAACAGGTGACCCTAACTCACATGAACATCCACATTGCGCAGCTCAGCCGCTTCATCCCGACGTTGCAGAGACAGGCTTTCCGGGTTCCTGGGACAACATCTACTGGTCCAAGGCCACCGCTGTTGGTTTGCTCAGCTACTGGACATAGTGGCTAAAATAGATGGCCCCGCTAGCCAGTGTAGGAAGGTGGGGCACTCTGATATTGTAAATAAAAATGTGTGTAATCTTTCTAAAACTTTCACTCTCAGTGATGCACAGTGTTCCCTTTTAAACAAGGGGTTAACTTTCAAAAATGCCACATCAGAATCAAATTGGCCATCTATTATAAAGATGTTGTTGATAATGACAATAATAATGACTTACCTTTCATGTCGGAGTCAGACTGGTCTCCTCCAACCGTCCAGCCTCAACAATCACCAGCAGTCAGATGACCCACACTTTGCGGAGAAGGTCAGAGGCCTGCACAGACTGCTGGAGGCGACACACAATCTTAAAAATGTGTCGCGGGATGACCGTGATCCACTGGCTATTCAGCGGATCACATCTAATCTGGCTTCTGCTATCAAGCCTGCCCATCCGAGCCCCTAATACTGGGCCTACAACACCATCACCATTCTGCGGCAGCATTATGCTGAGGTGCAGATGAGAAGCGGATGCTCCTGGCCCGGGGCGGTGACCTCACAGCCCCTGGGCTAGAGGTTCAGCCTGGAAACCGCAGATGAGGTCCAGATCTACGTGGCTTCCAGGGAGTAAGGCAGCTTCTCCATTCTCCTCCTGCTCATCTCCCCCTCCTCTGCTTCTTCGAGGAAGAGCTGGAGGTCTTTCCCAGACCTCCAGCTCTTCACAGCTGGAGCTGCGGGCCTCGCTGAAGACCAGGATGGCTTCCCTTCACCTGGATGGCCCTGCCGCGGTAGAACCATTCCATTAGCTTCTTATTGGTTGAGATTCAAAAGACCTTGTCCAATCATATTTAAGTGTTGCCTTTCGATAAATCGCATAATTTCCGGTGGTGATCAAATGTGATCGCGGTGGTTTTAGTAGTCCAATTTAATCACGTTAAATCAACACAAGAAAAATTAGTAGTTTTATTGTTGGCAATTAAGTAAACGGTTCTTTATCCAATCGTGTAACTGTAAATACAAGAAACGTGACTGTCTTGTGTTGTATTAACTTATTTTGTTTGTGCACCATCGTCACTTTGCATCATTCGTAAGGAAATTGCTGCTGTTGTAATTCATCAATCAATTTTTCCTCTGTCTTTGCAATATTTCTTGATAATAAAGTCCAAAAAAGCTGGAATTATCAGGTAATTTTTAAAAATAATATCATATTATTAAAACAATAAAAATAATTAACAAGTGAAATACCCGGCTGAGTTCTTATTATTTAATTATCTCATTTATATTTTAATTTTTCCAAAAAATACTCATAGTGGTTTCCACTCAGAATATGACAGACCTATTTGTCCCCTCTATATCTATGGTAGTTACATTCCTGTTCCAGCAGGTGGCGACATCGGATTGCGGTATCTTGAGATCAACGCGTAACTGAGCGCATTCCAACCTTTTTACACCCATGACAGCTTCTTGTGTCGCATCAGAAATTAAAACATAAGCAACTGAAACGCAAATTAAAGACGGATGTTAAGGAAGCTGAATTAAAAAAAAAAAAAAACTCCGAAAAGAAGTCATAGGGTGTTGGCTGGAGACATGATGGGCGCCTTTGGTTTTCGCTGCTGTCCAATTGGATACCAATACACAGAAATGGGCGTGACACTTAGCGGAGTTGTCCGGGAGCCGCAGCGTTGGCGATGAGTTTACTTCAGGTACAACGGCATTGTAAAACCTATCAGATAGGCGTTCCCACTCTCACCTCGGTATTGCTCTGCTCCTGCCAGATGAAAGGTGAACTGCGCGATGGATTCTGGTCCACCTGAGCCGAGGAAGTTTACCAGGGGGCTCAATAAGCCTGGGACCGCGGCGGAGCTCAGGCAGAGCGTCAGTGAGGCTGTCAGAACTTCAGTGTTGGTGGTAAGAAGAAAACATCTCTCTCTGTCTCTACTGTCATACAAGGCAACTATAGAAAATGAGATAGTGTATGGGGCAAAAATCAACCCATCATTTCAGGGAGATTTGGATATGATGAGAAACTGCTGCCAGTGATGACGTTTCATATGTGTGGTTATTTTGCCAGCTGCTACTGTAAATTTCCCATGCCTGACTCTAGTTACAACTTTCTCAAAGAGGTTGCCAGGTAACTGAAATGCACACTGGCTGCTTTAACTGGATGCATGCGCACCAATTGGTGCAATCTGTCACCTGATCCTTGCAGATGCACCTTGTAACGTGAGGCGTTTGTCAGAAAATGGTCACCTTGGGATAAGAAATAGACTGACTTTAGTTGTTTTCAGGAGATATGGGTGAAGAATCCCTATGTTGGCTTAATGCAGACACTAATTTATAGGTGGCGATGATGTTGTGATCACTTCTTCTGCGATTGTGATCAATATGTGATTGCTTTTTTTCTGTCAGTTGCTGTTCATCAGAATCAGCTTTATTGGTCAAGATTGTTCACACAAAAAATGAACTACACTTAGTTTTCCACTCTGCAGATATTTATACTGTACAGACAATTTATATACCCTTTATACCCACATGCATTTTGGCACTCCACTTGCTTTGCACATCTAGAGTTTTATTGCTCCTTCTTCTTTCCAAATTAACTTAAGGTCATCCTGACTGCAACTTTGACATCTTTTCTCCTGGAAATGCCTTTATCTAAACCATTTTGTTATTGCCCTGGCTGGATGTTTATTTCAAATCTATGCATCATAACTTTTTTTATGCCCGGTCCCAATTACTGCATGCTAATGAGCTGGATAACAGATCAATATGTGTAAGACTGAGTCCTATTATGTACTTCTCGTGGATAAGACAGGAAAGCTTATCCCTTGTTCTATTTTGGATGGATCCTAATGGTGCAGCTGACTCTTTCGTGTTAAGCATATATGCTGGTCTTGTAAATGCAAATATATATATAGCACACTGACCATGAGAACTTAGCATCTTTAGTTGCGCTGACAAAGATAGACTACAGTGTATACAAAAGTTGTTCAGTGGTAGAAGTGCACATGTGGTGTAAATCCTCTCTTTTCTTGGTAAATATGTAGTTTTTATATTAGCCTTTATCTTGTCTGCTGGGCAATTATGTCCCAGAGGCTCATTAATTGGGATTATCTTATGAATTTTCAGATTGTTTTAACTGTCACAGCTGGGACTATTTAAGATTGCAATTTTCACCTGTGAGACAGATATTGAGACATTGAGATGTTTGTAAGACCAAGAGTGTGACATTGTTTGTGATGCTGGGAGGAATAAACCTGCTGTTCCACCTAAACTCTGCCTGATATCATCAATCTGTACTGAAAAATCCAGCCGTAAAAGGCCAACCTGTTACAAGTGGTGTCAGAAGTGCGTCTATTCATGCCACAGTGCAAAGATGATGACCAGAGGTGGTAAAAAGCCAGGCCAAGAGGGAGAGCCTGATGAAGCAGCTGGAGCTTCCTCTGAAATGAAAACCATGGCAGCGACCAACCCTGAAGATAAGTTGGAGGAACTGGCGGTGTTGGTGAAATCCATCATGCGGTCTCAGGTGGCTAGAGACATGAAGATGGATAAAGATTTTTCCCGCCAGGAGCAGAGGTGGAAAAGTATCAGCATCAGTTTCAACAAATGCAGCTGCAAGTGAATGCGGTACTGGAAAAACAGGATGAGTCAGACACACAGGATCAACCTTCAACATCTGAAGCACCTGCAGAAGAATCAGATGGTGGTGATGTTCAGGTGGCTCATGGTTCCAGGTCCATAATTGAACCAAAATTTCTTCCCTTATCGACGGATGACGACATTGAGCATTTTCTGACGACGTTCGAGAGGATGGCCCAGGTGTGTCGTTGGTCCAGAGATGAGTGGGCGATTCGTCTGGTCCCTCTGTTGACCGGAAAGGCCCGCACAGCCTATGTTCTAATGGATATTGCTGACTCTCAGAACTATGATAAACTGAAAGAGGCAATTCTGGCAAAATATGAAATTACTGCTGATACTTATCGACGACGCTTCAGATGCCTAAAGATTGAATCAGGTGAGACGCCGCATGAACTTTATGTTCGACTGAAAGACTTGTTTTCAAGATGGATCAAACCTGATAAATCTACTGTGCAAGAAATATCTGAGCAGATAATTCTGGAGCAGTTTTTAAGGATGGTTAATCCAGAATTGGAGGTCTGGATACGTGAGCGTGACCCGAAGACGGCAGAAGAAGCAGCTACTCTCGCAGAGGTCTTCAGATCAGCCAGGAGGGGAGCTGGAGCACCTATGCTGGCCAAGAGACTCATTATGCCCAACCAAGTAAGTCCACTGGGGGTGAACAGGGCTCTGGTCTAAGTCAGGCTAGAAATGGTTCTAGTTTTAAGCAGTTCCCTTCCCATCGACCTGCTAAGGTTAAAAAGTCATTTCATAAGTCGTCAGGTCAGGATATTAGATGTTACAACTGTAATGGTTTTGGCCATACGCAACATTTTGTCCCGCCCTAAAATCAAAGCCATCACTGATGTGTTCAATTCCAAGAGCGGCTACTGATGTTGAAAAAAGAAAAGCTTGTACGGCTTCGTGCTAGTTAATGGGAAGAAAGAAGAAGCATTGCTTGATTCTGGGTGTTTTCAGTCTTTAGTACATGCAAGCTTAATCCCAGATGAAAAGTTAAGTGAGGTGGGGGTTAAAATAAGCTGTATACATGGAGATGAGCATGTCTACCCTAGTGCAGAGGTGTATTTGACAGTGGGAGGTCAAACATACCTGGTACAAGTAGCTGTAGTTCCCTCTTTGCCATATTCAGTTATACTTGGTAATGATATTCCCACTCTCTTAGACCTTCTTCATCAGTCGGATTATGAGCCTCAAGTACTTACCAACAGAGATGCCCCAGGTCCATGGTGGCCCTCTTCAATAGCGGTCGGCTGACAGTTAATTGAGACTCTCATGCCCCTGCTCCCTGTGTGCTCGACTGAAACAAAAAGGAAACGCGTGTCCTGGAGATTCTGCAGCGCTTACCTTCTGAAAAAGGCAATAGAGCTGGAGTTGGAAATGCATGCCATCTTGGATTACAGTGCAGAGAAAGCCGATGTAAAAGGCATCACACTCCGCTCACCTTATCATGTGATCTAAACAGACCGAAGCTTTATAGCAAAGTCCCAGACCCGGAAAAGAGAAAGCACCGCCCTGACCCGGCTCGAACGGTCTCTGAGTCACCAGGGGAGCTGACAGAAAACCCCTCACACGCTGGTTTTTAACAGAGACACTAAAGCGAAACGGGGCAGATTCAATTAGATTTGTACGAGTAAACGAAAGTGTCAGACTTTCATAATGGGTTGCTTTTATTGACAACTTAAAGATAATGTTATGACTTAGAGGCTTATAATTCGCAGAAGCAGCCAAGAAAGCTTATTAATCTAAGCTGAGGGTTGGCTAATGTTAGCAGCCGCTGATGCCTATCAGGCTGTATGTGGTTAGCTTCGAGTGCTAACTAGTCGGGAAGCTGCATCTGCGTTGGTCAGTGAAGAGTAAAAGCAAAATGTAAAACAAGCAGGTTACCTATTAACTTTATGAAGCTGACATAACTGAGAGCAGAGGAGTACTCCAATTCCTGAAGTGGCTGCAGCTGTCAAACATTTGGAAGAAGAAGCCGACTCCCTTAAAACAACAAGCAGCAAGCCCAGCCCTGACTAATCAAGCACCGAGCGTCAACAGACTATAGCCTGAGAACAGACAGCTTCAGCTGCATTCAGAGCCATTACGTGAACCCTAAAATGGTGCACTACTCATTTCACTCCTAAAAATATTCAGTAATTTATCAGAAATATTACTAAAAATAAATAGTTTCAAAATAAGAATTTAAACTAAAGTCAGGGGGTAAAAAGTTTGAATAGGAAATAATGTGGTAATAATGTGATTGCTCAGTTAAATAGTAAAGAAGGAAAAAGAAAAATATTGAATTAAAAATGGTCTCATTGGAGAGGTAGAGGGAAAATAAATATTAAAATCTAAGCGATGATAGTAGTGCAACAATAATGGCAGCAACAAGAAAAAGATAATACAAATACAAAATACAAATGCTAACTGCATATTTTTACAAGAAACTCACTCTATTAAGGCAGATGAGAACTTCTGGTCAAATCAATGGGGGGAAAAATAATTTTATCTCATGGTACTAATAAATCTGCTGGTGTTGCTTTACTATTTCAAAATTTTCAGAAAAAACTAGAAACTCATAGGAAAGACAAACAGGGCCACTGGATTATGTGTGTACTCAAAATGGAAACTAGTTTTCTGATTCTCTGTAACGTCTATGGTTACAACAGTGTTGCTCAGAACAAATCCTTATTGTCTGAACTAACTAGTCAACTAAAAGAACTATCTCAGAAATATCCCACGAACAATCTCATATTGGGTGGAGATTTTAATATGGTGTACAATGAATGGCTTGATAGATCTCCCTCTAAATTCCAATCTCATCATATAAATGTGGTTTTACAAAATTTTTGTTTATCTCTGAATTTGGTGGATCCTTGGAGAGAAGCAAATCAGAGCAGTCAGTCTTTCTCCTGGTTCAGACCTGATGGCTCAGCTAAATCACGTATTGATTTCTGGCTAATTTCAAACAGTCTGATGCAAAATAATGTAAATGCTAGAATTTCACCTGCACCTTTGTCTGATCACTGTGTAATACAACTCAGTATCACAACTCAACTGAAAACATCCCACAACAAAGGTTACTGGAAGTTCAACTCAACCCTCCTTAACAATGAAAAATTTAATAATGAAATCCTGGAGCTTCTCAATTTAATTTGCAATGATACAAATCTGAGTTCTTATACAAAGAAATGGGAATTCTTTAAATTTAAAGTCTGTGAAATCTCAATTAAACACAGCAAATTGATAGCTATCCAAAATAAGGAAAAGGAATTAAAAATCATTCAAGAACTTAGTCACATCTGTTCTAAACCGTTTTTTAATAATGAGACAAACAGCGCAAAAAAATTCTGCAGACTGAATTAGATGATTTTTATACTAAAAAAGCCAAAGGAGCTTACTTAAGGTCCCGAGCGAAGTGGATTGAGGATGGTGAAAAAAGTACTGCATATTTCTGTAGATTAGAAAAAATAAGACAGGAGAGAATGCAGTGAATTGCTTGCAAATTAATAATAAACCATGCACTGACTCAAAATTAATATCCAAGGAAATTTTTAGCTTCTATAGCAATTTATATTCTTCTGATATAATAACTCAATGACAGAAATATTCTTTAACTCTGTTCGACATTTGATTCCTAAAATTGATGACAATTATAAGCAAATGTGAGGCAGATATCACTATAGAGGAATTGGATAAAGCCTTGGGCGCTTTATCCAAGGACAAAGCTCCAGGCTGCGACGGCTTGACAAGTAACTTTTATAAACACTTTTGGGTCCAAATCAGAACACTTGTGTTTGGAATGATTACAGAACTATTAGAAAATAATTGTTTAACTCACACTATGAACAAGGTGTCATCACACTCATTCCTAAACCCGGGAAAGATCCAACTATCCTTGATCATTTAAGGCCGATAACATTATTAAATAATGATTACAAGCTTCTGACACACATTTTTGCCAACAGATTAAAATCAGGCATATCCCAGATTATTTCTGACACTCAATCTGGTTTTATAAAAGGGCGCTCTATACATAATAACATTCGTCTTATTTTGGACTTAATTGACTATAATCACTTAGTAGAAAATGAAGGCTTTGTATTATTTTTAGACTTTTATAAAGCCTTTGATATGATAGAACATGAATTTATGTTCAAGCTTTAAGCTTTGTTTGGATTTGGTGATAAATTTATTAACGTAATTAGGACATTTTACAAAGATACCAATAGTTCAGTGTGTCTTCCACATGGTACCTCACACAGATTTAGCATCAACAAAGGTATAAAGCAAGGTTGTCCAATCTCTCCATTGCTGTTTATTGCTGCTGCAGAAATGCTTTCCATATCAATTAAAAATGCTCAATTTGGTAAATTAGCTGTAATGGGTAAGGAGTTTTCTATTAGTCAACTCGCTGATGACACAACCATTTTCTTTAATAATCTGAATGAAATTCCAAAAATTCTTAAATTGATTGATTCCTTCTCAAATGCTTCAGGTCTTAAATTAAATTTAAACAAATGTGAAATTTTGCCTCTAAAAGACTGCTCTCTATCGACTGCTTTTAATATTCCTGTAAAATCCAGTGTCAAATATTTGGGTGTGCATATAATAAAAATAAATCTGATTTAGAAAACCTAAATATCTGGGAAAAAATTCAAAATTGTAAAACTCATTTAAATAAGTGGACACACAGAGATTTATCTATTCTGGGAAGAATAGCTCTCACCAAAATAGAAAGTATCTCCAGACTGATATATCCTGCATATACATTAGGAATACCCACTTCAGCTATCAAATCCATCAATAGGATGAATTTTGATTTTATATGGAAACAGAAACTCACTATATCAGGAAAGGTAATTTAATCAAAAGGTTTGAAGATGGAGGACTGCAAGCTATTGAATTTGACAGCATGAACGGTACTTTAAAAATGAATTGGCTTCGGTCTTTCCTAACAAACCAAAGGGCTTTATGGTTCCATATTCCGAGTAAAATATTTTCAAATGTGGGTGGAGTTAGTTTTCTTCTTAGATGTGACTTTGACGTTAAAAAACTACCTGTTAAACTTTCTTCTTTCACCAGCAAGTTTTATTATATTGGAAGTTAATCTATAAACATAACTATAGCCCACACAATACTCCTTTGTGGAATTGCCGTTACGTAAAAATTAATAATAAATCAATCTTTATAAATAATTGGCTAGAACAAGGTGTTTGGTCTGTCATGCATTTATTAAATAATGGGAAGGTTATGTCTCTTGAAGAATTCAGTGGTAATTATAACCTACAAATAAATAAAAGTGTATTTCAAAAGATTATTAAAGCTATTCCCCCAAATATTTTATCTACAGCTAAATGTTTGTATGAGATCCCTGATTGCAGAACCGCTGAGCTTCCTGGTCTATTGATTAATGGGCTCAATATCACAGATAAGAATTTGAAAAACAAAAAACTTCGGGAATGCTTTATTAGTTCTCTATTTCCGTTTATATCCAATCCAAATTTTATATCGCATTTCTTTTCAAAAGATCAGAAAGAAAAAATTAGAACAAATTATTTAAAGCTTCCCATTCCTCCAAAAGCCAAGGAAGTCCACTTCAAAATCTTTTCAGGCGTTTACCCTTCTAAGGAATTCCTTAGACTTCGATTTGCTATTGATGATAACACTTGTTTATTTTGTAATGGTGATATTGAGTCGACTGAACATCTTTTCTATGATTGTGTGTATTGCAAAGCTTTGTGGGATGATATTCACTACTGGCTTTTTCCTAAAATCCCGAACTTACCGGACTTTTCCAAGAATGATATTATCTTTGGGACTATGAGAAAAGAAAAGAAATTTGAAACTCTGTTAAATGTCATAATTATTATGGGCAAGTTTTTCATACACAAATGTCGTTTCCTTAAAACCAAACCGTCTTTCCCCTTTTTTCATAAGGATCTCTGCCACCTCTTCTTATCGCTGAATTTCATGAACAAAGGTCAAGATACAGAACTATATGATATGATAATCATCATGAAATTGCTGGAAAACCCCTAATGTATGTCTTTTGTTTTGTCTTGTTATTTTTGTTCCTCCTTTTTGTCTGTATGGATGCAGCTGAGATCGGCTTCATCATGTTTTTCAGATTTTATGTACATTTGAAGCCGATTACATGTTTAATGTATATGTTGATAATAGTAATAAAGAGTTTAAAAAAAAAAAAAAAAGATTAAAAAAAAAAAAAAAAAAAAAAGATAATGGCGAAGTTCACGTCAGTTAGTTAATGCGCATGTTCGGAAGTTTGGCGGATTTTTTGTTTGTTTTTGAAAAAAGTTGTCAGTCTTCAATTACAGGCTTGCAAAGCTGATACATTCTTGAATACAGTAGTTTGTGTCGTTCCCTTCTAAGATTTTCATTTTTTAGAAGATAAGCGCTGCAACTCGAGGACTTTCATCGACGGTAAGGCTGGACAAAGTTAGGACAGAAACCACCAGCTGGCTAATTAATGACAAGCCATGGTGGAGTGTTAATTTAGGGTGAAATGGGACCTTTCCTGGTTAAAACGTTGCTATTCGTGCTTCTGGGTGTGTCTTTGACAGTTGTTTTAACGCGATACTTCAAAATGTGCATAAAAAAGCCTTTAATGCTGAATATTAAATGCTAAATGGAGAGATGAGAAAAGAAACATTAGAGTCTGATGGTTTTAACATGTCTTGTATCTTTTTGTTTCACTACTGCTAAATAAGCTAAAGCCTCTGCCTTCCTTTTTTTTTTTTTTTTTTTTAATCCATCAGTCTGAAGATGCCTCCCAGGAAAACGATGACACCATCGAAGCAGACGTCAGCTGTGGCTTCAAAGATCAAAAACAAAATTATCAGTAGGTTTAATTATTTAATTTATTTTTGCGATCAATAAATTGAAATTGAATTGGGTTAGTCTCCATCTCATTTGTGTTGCGGCTGTCACAGATTTTGAGTAGTGATAACACCGTATTTCTTTCACACCAGACACCTCCTCCTTCTTCAAGGTCTCCCTGAAGACCAACAACAAGGCCCTGGCTCTCGCTCTGCAGGCCCAAAAGGAGAAGAGCAGGCAGCTTGAGATGGAGGTGGTGCTCCTGCAAAAACAGGTCAAAGATCTCTGCTTCCAGCTGGCTACCAAGAAACACAACCAAAGGAAACTGGTGAGTGTGATATATCAGCTGATGTGGAGTTTAGTTTGACCATTATCTGGTTCACTACTTGTTATTGTTCTGCTCCTACAGATGCTCATCTTGAAAAATCTCCATAATAACACTCTACAGCAGCTGGACATGATGGCAGAACTAGTTTCTGATGACGTAAGAGACGAGTCACCAATCAGATTATATTTTTTTACCACAAGATTATGTTTTTCTTGCTTAAATGTGACTTTAATCAAATTTACATCCTCTGATTTTGACTGCGTCATGATGTATATGACATGCAAGGTTGTTTGTTTTTTTTACACTGAAGTTGTGACTATTATGATTTATTCCAATTCCCAGACTCAGATCTTCTTTTCTTTTACTGACACTTACTCCACAATTGTCTGTTCACCTCAATGTAAGTGGAGGTGAAATAATTCAGATTATTTTCCTCGACTTACATTGAGGAGAGGCACTGACTAAATACATCTCAAAGTCCATAGGTAGATCTCAGGAACTTGAAGTTGCTTCCAAATGCTCAGAATGGATTGGCCTGTGTCTGGAGGCTAATCGTCCACATTTCACCCGACTACGCTTTTTCCTCTGTTATTTTCTAGTCATAGTAAAAAAAAAGTAAAACGTTTTTAAGTTTTTTGAAGTCAAAATGAACAAATTTTATAGTCTATAACTACTCAGAAAAAAAAATGTGTGGAAAAGCACAAAAAAATCCCTGTCATTTTTCACTATTGTTGAAAACAACAACTTTACATACACCGAATACAGACAGAAATTTAACTTCCGCGTTTGACTTTTTTTTATTTTTTTCCCAAGATTTTTTTTTTTTTGTAACTTTCTTCAAAAACAGAAGTTTTGAAGAAATTTATTTTTGAAGATAATTATCTTTTAAACTGTATGACTTGAAATGTTTGGTCTCAATGTATTCAGTACCATATAAGGAAGAATGCCAATGAGGAGTCTATTTATTTCCCCTGCAGTGGAACCCAAAGCTTGACTTCTAATCTACAAAACCTCAATGAAGACCAATAGGTTGAACTGCTGAAGCTGAAAATGTGTTTTCCCTCAGGATTCTCCAAGACTGTCAGAGGGCTGCCACTACCCAACAGATAAAAACAAAGAGAACGATGCAGCAGCGCGGTCAGAAGTTCCTGCGTTTGCTTTTGTTGTGTCCTTTGTAGGTGTTGTAGTTTCAGTGGACGTAAATGATATCTGACAGTTATATTTTTCTGTATTTCTATCTTATACACAGGAGGCCTGAAATGTTAAGGAATCTTTTCTGTCACAACAAAAACATAGAAGCTACACCAGGTCTGCTCAAAGGAAACCCTCATCTGGATGTTTTAAGTGCCCTAACCAGATGCAGCAACTCCTCTGATATTTTTCATGGTGGGTAATTTGGCATCATTCAGTGCAGTGTTTCAAATATGTACTGCCTCACTATAAATGAATGTCTTTTCCCAGAAAACGCAGAGGAAAGGCGTTTCAGTCAACGTGTTCAACCCACTCAGACTTCACTCTCAGACAGGAGTGAAGTGGAGCGCCTGTCCCAGTCCAGCTCTCAAATAAACTCTGTCCTCTGTCCTCAGCACAATCAAACGCATGGAAACTCCACAACATCCCTTTCTAGTGACGTAAACGCTCCAAGTGTGTCAGCCTCAGAAGTTGAGTCTCAGTTAGCAAGAACTGACAATACAGTGCTTCTCAATACGTCAATGGAGATTACATTGAGTAACGCAGTTGAAATTGTCACCGTGGAAACCAAAGCCAAGAAGAAAGGTCCTTCCTGTGAGACAAAAGGCACAGAGAGTCAACAGGTGGGTTCCAGTCCAGATGTCCAGAATGGTTTCAACCACAGACCAAATAAGGAACCTGTGAAAATTTCTACTCAGAAAAATAAACCAGAAGATAAAGACTCAAGAGTTCTTGAGGTACAGTTACCGAAAAAACGCGGCAACAATATGAAAGCATCTCGCATCCCCAAGCTTGCCAGTCACCAGAAGACATCCAAGAGCGATACTGACAGCTGTGACACTGTCTCACAAGATTTAAATAATTATTTTTCCAATTCTAAAGTTACCTTGTTGAAGGCTGGGGGCAGTGAACCTGAAGAAGGTTCACCAAGTTCTAAAATCACCTACAGACGTTCGAGAACTAAAGTAAGGAGGCGCTCTATGGTCATTCAAAAGACCTCGTCAGTCCGTCTGCCTCATGATGACGAGAGCCAACAGTCCAAACCGGAGAAGGTCCATGATGAAGAGGAAGCAGAAAAAACAGAGCCACCTCCACCATATGAATACATATTCCATCCAGTGGAGGAGGCAGGTCTCGGGTCAGAGGAGAATCAGCCTCCAGCCAGGAGGAAAACGCAGAACAGGCCAGAAACTCATCTCTCTCTAGGAACAGTAACTCGCATGATGCTCATTGTGACATGATGCTTCCTGGAGAGCCCCACTGCCCAGCTGAGGAGCTGCTAGACGATCTGTCTCAGAGTTCTGGATATTTCCAGGCAAATCAGCAAACAGAGACCAACAGCACTTCAAAGCGCCCTCTGGTGGAAACATCAAAGCATAACATGGAAGTCCTGCCAGCAGATGAATGTGACCGTTCAGAGAACCCAACATCTAAAAAATCCAGACGAGACGAAGCAGGAGGTTCCAGGAACAGGATGATATCGTCACTGGGGAAATATGCTGATGGTTACGACTCCAGGCGAAAGAGAAAAACAAGGAAAAGCAGTAAAAAGGTTTTATCTGAAGATGAATCTGGTCTGCATCCCATCTGCCGTGATGAGCTTCTTGTCTGCAGCCCTTACAGTCTGAAGGTCAGGAAGGAAGGTAAAGAGGATTTTCAGATGCTCCTCAGCCATGATCATTATGACATTGGTGAAAATCCACCTGATCCTAAAGACTCCAAAGGCAGGAATGCTTCAAAACTACAAAGGAAGACAAAGCTGCACACAGCAGCCGAAACCAAGAACCTAAGGAAGACATTTGTCATCCACAGACCGACATGTCAGGACAAAAGCAATAACACAAGGACATCGGTTGTTAATGATGAGATGGATCATCAGGATGTCAGCTTTCTGATAATGGATGTGGATCCACCATCGCTGCTTGCAGAGCTCAGCACTCTGGACCCAGAATCCAATTCTGCACCCAACTCTCCAAAAAGGAGCCCATCATGCAGGCTGGTGGTGACTGAGGGGTCAACTAGAGCCTCACCAGGTGGGTGTCTCCTCCACTGTCAATAGATGTTCTTTGGGTATCAGAGTTTACCTGTGAACTCTGGGTAGACTCACCCCAATAAGGGAATACTGTAAACACAAAATCTAACCTTGTCTGACTTTGGTTTAGCTGACAGCTAATGCTTTGCTGTGCATTGCAGCAGGAAGAACTCTAACAACTGTTACCAACACATTTCCAAACCCATATGGTGAAAATAAAGGAAGAAGCAGGAGAAAGAACTGTGTGGTCTCCTATAAGGAGCCACCACTGAACAGGTGAGAACGTCAGGTCCCACTGAAAGGAACTCAGAGAGCAACGCAGGCTATGTGACCAGTGCTACAGTGACGCTGGTTACTCAAAGCTCCGTCTATGTTTCTGACTTTTGCTTCAGCAGACCACAGGTCTGGTTAAACATTCTAGATATTCTGTAATGCCCCTTCAACCCAGATCTACATACTTCTTTGGACAGGTCTCTCTGCAAATTCCAGTTGGCTTCATGTCAGGACTTTGACTGGACCGTTCTCACAACTGAGCTTTGAACCGTGCCAGTTAAGAGTGCAGTGATAAATCATCTGGCTAAATTGACCCTGGTTTAATTAATTTTAACTTGATGAATTTTGAACATTTTTGTAATTTGTTTTCTGAAATTAGGTTTTATTTGTATCAATAAGTTAGCTATAACCAACCTATCATTACTAGAACTAGTGTTATGATTGGTCATATTATCCAGACTTGTGTTTGTCTTTAAAAAGAAAAGAGAGAGAGAAATGGAACACAGTGCTGAATTTCTGTTTTTCTTCCCCTCCCCCAACAGGAAAATTAGGCGTGGAGATGATTTCACAGACACCACATTTCTGAGTTCTCCGGTGTTTAAAGGCAGGAGGAAGAAGACGAAGAAGACGAAGACGAAGAAGACGTAGAAGAAAACAGTGGGGTGGGCTGTGGACAGACAACAACAAATACTTTTTCCTTGTGATAAATCCAGTGTTCTAGTTTCCTACAGAGAATGCTAGTTCAGAATTTGTTCAAATTTGTGGTGTTAAGACTTTAGATTTTTTACATCATTGTCATTGGGGATGTATCAGCTGTTTGCTCCTGATGGGAGGCCAGCTGTAAATAATCGAGTGGAAGCTGATAACCCGATACTCCCTGTGATGTTCAGCTGCACAGAATAAAGTCTCAGTTAAGCCAACCATGTTTAGGATTTGCTGTGTGAGCATGCTAAGTGAAGATCTCCCAGCTCCACTTTTTGGTCCATCAGCTTGTGTTGTGAGTATAAATCTTAACATATTAGATCTGTTGAAGCTTGTATAGTTTTTTTTTTTCTATTCAGGGATTCCTTCAAAATTATTTTCCCTGGCTTTTTTCCCCAGCAGCCAGGGAAAACAGGCTGGTGGCCTAACAGATTGATATACCATTTGTGATATGAATGAGTGATAGTATGAGTGACTTAATGTTTGCAATGAATAGGCTTATGAGCTGAAGAGCTGATTTTCTTTTTATGTGAATGAGGGGAGATGTATGTTCATACTTATTTCTGCGTCTTTCATCCATGTTTTTTTTTAGTTATTACATGAGCTATTCATATTTATTATTGAGGGAGTAAAATGAAAGGAAAATAAATAAAATGTTGTACTAATTAAACAATACTTTACTATTTTTAAAATGGTGATCATTGGCTGTTATTGGTGAGGACAGGAGAATTCAGGCAAAAGTCGCCTCTGAATATATTTGAGTTTTTAAACACAACATCTCCTTCCCTTCCCACCACAGTGGAGCCATATGTAGCTTAGGAAGTCCTTAGCATCCAAATCGCATATGGCGAGAAGCAATGATTCTCTCATCTTATGGTAAGTAAGTTTGTATAATTAAAAGTTTTTCTTAGCCAAAATATATTTGCACCTTACATGCTACTTTGAGTAAACATCAAATGAACTGCCATCAAACAAGTATAGGATTTATTAACTTATAAGACACATTAACAGAATGACCCGTCAGGGTGATTGATGTGACCATCTGCTTGCAAATTTAAATAATCTTCTACAGACTTAAAAATATTTAATTGACCCTTTTGTTCTACTTACTGATTGTGACAAAGTGGGGCCTGATGATCAGCTTATACATGAAAATTATAGGTTAAAGACCTTTGAGGTGAGCTTGGTATTAGTACATAGCTGTTACATATAAATACATTTAGGGGAATTTTAGTCTGAAAGACCAAAATTGCTTAGAGAGAATGCCTATTGCTTTAGTAAGGTTCATTGCAGTACAGTGACACATAGAGGCATATATGTGTCACTGTACTGCATTGTATCTGATAGCCTAGAAGCTGCAAACATACTCGTGTATAAGCAGTAAGGGATCAAACCAGTGACAGGAAACAAAGCATCAGGAATTAAATGTTAAACCATATAACCAAACAGTTTACTGAATTGGATCTTTGGGACTTTTCACAAACTGTTTTGTTGGTACAGTGCTGAATAAGGATTTATGGTTAAGATCTAACTTTTTAGGTTTGCCTTCAGTCACTGTTGACATAAATTTTGTATCTGTCATGGTCGGTCTATAATAAATTCCATCAGTTGTGAAACATGAATTCACAGCAGTGTGCAGTGAAGCTGGTGGGCAGCAAAGAAACAGTAGAAATAAATGTTTGCAAGCAGCAGCAAAAGGTCATTGTTCATGTTGAGAGGACTGTGTGCGTTTCAGAGCCGACTGCCAGTGGAGAAAAGCCTGGCTCTGTACAGATGTAAGTCAGCTGTTTTGTTCCCTAGCCATCAGTCCAAGATACAAAATATGTTCTGGATCATTTTTACATTCACACTGATGTTACTTAAACATTTATACAAAATAGAAAATTAGAAAGCTTTATTTTTTATTTAGTAAAAAAAAAAAATCCTCAGTCCTTATTTTTTCTTTTGAACCACAGGGGTCAAACATTTTGTACTGCCGTACAAAATGTTTTTTTTGTATGCCCCCTCACTCTGTCCTAGCATCCATTTGCCATGCTCAGATCTTACAAGGCTGTACAACACGCCAAGAGACATAGTACGTCTGAATGTTATAGCTCATTTTATTTCATGTATTGACTTTCATGTATTGACTTATTGATTCTATTTGTTTGTTGGCTAGTTTACAA